AATCTTAATGGACCTGTCTTCCTGGCTGCTTACTTGTCACCTACTTTATCACTTGTTTTTAAACTTAATCTTGTTAAAAAATTAGATTCTGTCTGTGGCACTCCCCCAGTCAAGAACCCTGCCTCCCATCCCGGTGGCCACAGCCGCTTTCTTGATTGGCGGTCTGGAACCCTGGCTCTTATGCACGTGTCACAGGCTCTGCTTTTCAGTAATTCCTGTTCTGCCTTTTGCTATAGACCTTCAGGGCTTTGGGAGTGGGATAATAAATCCTCACACAGTGTCTGAGGAGGCCCTGCAAGGTCAAGTTCAGATTTAACCTGGAGTTCAAAGCCCCTTGCAACTGTCCCCATCTATTTTATTAGATCCATACTGAAGGCACATTGTCTTGCCGGCCATAGCAGACAAACATCAGAACAATCTGTCATGGTTTTATTGAGAATGGTTAGGGATTTATTTTTACCTTGAAATAAAAACTATGAATAACTTGTTTAAAGGAAATATGTTTTCCCTTAAAATAATAACTCATTTATGTTCAAGGGCTTCTTAAAATGTGAAGGTGATGCACACCTTGCTCTGCAAACAGTAGGCATAACTGATTTTTGAAAGCTTTTGAGAATGGAAGTAGTTAACAGATTTAGCTCAGATTATTTATACAAGAGTTTCTCCCTACCAAATAAAGAATACCTTCTAGAATCTTGGGTGAGTCTTGTACTGATTGAGTGTGCCTGGCATCTCTGCAAGAGGGTGAAGTATTGGCGCTGCCTGTTTGCTTATTGGGCTTCCAGTTTGCTTTGGGTTGTTCACCTGGGACCTCAGGAAGCCTCCCTGTCACTGACATGGGGTTACCTGGAAAGGGAATTTTCCCGAGTTCCCTGTTGTGTTGGAGGAATTCCAAGATCTCGAGCAGCCACTGTAAGATGACCAGATTAATGCTGTGAGAGGTTAGGTGAGAAACAAGTACTTGGGTGACAGGACCAGCACAGCCACAGCTGTGTTCTGCTGAATTTTCAGGGAAATCTCAAGTATATTGCAGAGGTCCTGAAAATCTCTCAGTTTGCAAAGTTGAATCACAGAAGCAGTAGTGGCCTTGGCAACTCTGATGGGAAAACAGTAACTCAGAGCAGCTGAGTGTTCATTTGGGGGTAGGAATTGTGGGGTGAGCTAACACTTGTTTGGATGTAGACATTTGAGTGTTAGTAAAGAATTGACTTAATTTTCCTTTTATAAAATACTTAGATGTTTTCACAAGTGTAACTTTGTTTTCACAAATGTCAGAAAAGTATCTTTTATTGAAACTTTGTTTTAGTACTGATGCAGAAGACACAGTCACAGGTTACATTGTACTTCTGCTGGGAGCCAGGGCTATAGGAACCCGAGGGCCCTTTTTACAGCAGGCCCCGAAGGGAAAGCGCTGGTATTCTGCCCACCCCCACGGCTTCGTGTTGATTTCAGCATCTATATCTCTTGGCAGTTAGTCTTGAAAATAAGGAAAGGGAATTAACTTTTTAATTCAAGGATGTTTTGATGGGGTGGATTTACCTCATCCAGGAAAATGGACAGTAATTCTTTTGTTCTTCATGCCATGGGGAGGAATGTCCTACTGTTAGGGAGAGGTAAGATGATATATTTTAATTTCTTTAGAGAAGCTGTGTGTGTGTGTGTGTGTGTGTGTATGTGTATGTGTGTATTCATATAAAATTTGCGGGGGGAGGGGGTACTGGGGATTGACCTCAGGGGCACTCAGCCACTGAGCCACATCCCCAGCCCTAGTTTGTATTTAGAGACAGGGTCTCACTGAGTTCTTAGTGCCTCACTTTTGCTGAGGCTGGCTTTGAACTCTGATCCTCTTGCCTCAGCCTCCTGAGCTGCTGGAATTACAGGCATACGCCACTGCAACGGCTGAAGCTGGGTATTTTTAATTAGGGGTTTAGAGAGAATTACTGTAGAAATCCTAAACAAAGCCTAAAATTTATGAAGTAATGAATTCTTTGTTCAGTGCAATATGACATAGGTGTACAAATTTAATCAGAAGGATGAGGACATATTTAATAGCTGTTTATAATATCAGATAAATAATAAACAATTAGCAATTGAGTACATTTTGTTGTAAGCTTAGCTCTTTTATTAATGATGCTGGGAACAGTATTCTATCTTATTTATTTTTTTGTGGTGTTGGGGATTGAATCTGGGGCCTCAAGCATGCTAGACAAGTGCTTTACTACCAAGCTGATTCCTATATCAGGAGCAGTAATTTAAAACAAATTTCCCTCTATTTCCCCTACCCCACCCCACCCCCAGGAAAGGAGGAGATTTCTGGTGGGGAAAATGCAGATTCGTGGTGCTTTCCTAGCATATCAGCTTGTCTCTTATTTGACATTGTAATATGGTGTCATTGAATTGCTCAAGGCCCGTTGGAGCCAGAGGGCTGTTGATTTCTGAGCTCTGTAACTTACATATTTTAAATTGAGCTTTAATCATCCTCCCCCCCACTATAGCTGAAAAGCCCCTTCGAACAGTAGACCCTCCATTTTTCCAGTTTGCTGCATGTTTGAAAAAAATTCTCCCAGCTGGAGTGAACCCTCTAAGCCTCACTTTCTTACTTTAGTTTTGCCACTTTCTACTCTGTGTGTTCAGGGAATCAGGTCCTGGGGCAGTTGGCTTGGTGTTCTGGGTCTCATTGAGGAAATGATGTTGAAATGGGAGAAATTAGTTGTTTGTGAACATCCCATTCCTGTGTCTCTTCATTTTTATTTTTACTTATTAATTTTTTTTTTGTTGCAATACTGGGGATTGAACTGAGGGGCACTGTACTAGGGAGTGACTTCCCCAGTCCTTTAAAAAATTAAAAATTTTCAGATAGTGTCTTGCTGAATTGCCCAGGCTGGCCTCTGACGTGGCCATCCTCTTGCTTCAGCCTTCCGAGTTGCTGGGATTGCAGGCATGTTCTTCACAGGCTTCTGTAGGAAGAGCAACTCCTCGTGCTGATCTCTGTGTTACCACTGTCTTTGGCCTTGATGGAATCATTCTGGGGGATGAGAGACAGCAGCCATTTCAAGCAGGGTCCACACCCTCCGATTCAGCGTTTGCCTAGTCTTTGCTGTCATCTCAGTCTGTTTCTCTTTCACTGCACAGTGCTCTCCTTAAAAGGATAAACGTTTCAGGTTTGATCTTTCACTCTAACTTGATAACAAAGGCTACGTTTTCAAAGGAAAATGAGGCTGTATATTTTTGTGTCCGACTACATGATTACCCCTATGGAATTATATTAATTTGGGAAAGGAAAACGAATGACTTCATTTAGCAAACTCTGGGCAGACTGAATATTTGTGATTTTGCTTAGTTTAAGAAGTGGGCACCACAGGTTTTCAAAATCATATCCAGAGTTTATAGGTTGTAATCTGGTGATTCCACTTTTTTTTTTTTTAAAAATACTTATTTTATAGTTGTAGTTGGACACAATACTTTTATTTCACTCATTTATTTTTTATGTGATGCTGAACCCAGGGTCTTATGCGTGCGAGTCGAGCGCTCTGCCGCTGAGCCACAACCCCAGCCCCTTCACCCTTTTGGTAAGAATTATGAATGATGGTTTTCTGTGAGAATACATTAATAGTGTTTGTAAATTGATCAAATCATTTTGAGAACTTAACATGGTCTAGTCATTTTAAGTTTTCTAGACGTTTCTGGATTGCAAGAATCTTTTGGTCAGGATAAGGTCAAGTAGGTGTTAGACACTAAATTCACTCTGCTGGACCCTTCATAGTGTCTGTATTTGCTGCAATTATATTTATTTGCCATAAGAACTACTTTATGTAGTGATTAATTTTAGAATATTTTTCTTTATTTACCCTAAACTTTCTGAGACTTCTTTCACAAAATGTCATTTTAAAACTGTTTTCTTGTATCTAGTCCATGTTTTCATTGCATTTTTGGTCTTTTAAATTCAAAATAATTGTACAACTACTCCTACTTGTTTCTGTTTTACTTGTTTCTTTGTCCATAATCTTTATAAGTCTTAAAAGTTCAATACGGTCTTCGATTCTTGATGTTACAATGTGGAATTTTTTGTGCCTAAAAGTAATTATACAAAATTAGTATCAGTGACTTCTAAGTAGCATTGCAAAGTTAATTGCAGTATTTTCCAAATAGCCACAAAAGATCTAAACCTATCCTAAAGAATAATTGTAAAATCAGCGATTTAGAGATGACTGTGTATATCAAATAAAATGTTATTAAGTATTTTTTCAATTCTCTCTTTCCTCCAGACTTGAACTATTCTTAAAGAATCTGCTTTTTTGTTTGTTTGGGGTTTTTTGCCTTTCATATAACTTTGTAGATTTTACAAGTCTGCAAAGGTACACGGACACAGTTTAGCTGGTGTTGTGTGATTCATAGTGCCAGCTGGTTTCTGCTTTATTCAGAGGTTTGGTGAGGGAGATAGGACTTGAGTTGCAGGGTTGTTCAGACCTAGGGATATGAGAGTCCCACCTTTATCTAGACTTTCTGGTCTCTGGACCTCCATATCAGATAGCCCAGCTAAACAGTTGTTCATATTGCCTTGACACTTTCGTGGCCAGTGTTTGAATAAAGTCCGAAATTATTTTATTGTTGCTGTGTTAATACTGATAATTTATAATCAAATCATCTTTATGATAGTAATAGATTAAATATTGGAAAGGATGATTCTGGAATTTGAAAGCAATTTCTCAAAAAGTTCGGTATATACTCAGTATTAAAACTTTAGATATGTAAAAAAGAGATCAAACTTACCTTTTTTAAGAGTGTATGCTGTTTGGGGCTAGGGTTGGAGCTCAGTGGTAGAGTGCTTGCTTTGCATGTGTAAGGCCCTGGGTTCAATTCTCAGTACCACATAAAAATAAATAAATAAACATAAAGATATTGTGTCTATCCACAATTAAAAAATATTTTTAAAAAGTGTATGCTGTTAGTATACTATAGTTGGTGATAAAAATTCAAAAGCTCTAAATGTGCATATCTGTCCAATGTACTTTTTCTTCTGCTTCCAGGACTGATTAATATTAACAAGGGGGACCAGGAGGACTACACAAGACATATTCAGAAATGCTCTAGAAGTATTCAAGAATGTTCGATCAGGTGTGGAAATCCATGTGAGAAACTATGTCATAAGCCATGGTCAGAGAAGTTCTGGAGTTTTAAGATTTTTAGTATCTACCATTAGAAGACCTGAGACACTTAATTTCTTTTTTTCCTTTTGATTGTGCTGGGCATGGAACCTCGGGCCTGGCACACGACAGGCAGATGCTTTACCACTGATCTGCATTCCAGCCCAGCATTTAATTCTTTAGCATTAAAGAAAGCATTTCATGGGATGTTAAGGTTTCAATGACAGGTATGGAACAATTCCTCCTTGCCTCTTTACTGACAGGATCCATCATGAAATTTCTCACCTTGGCTGAAATGTTGACCTTGAGATACCATTTGATACTGAAGTGGGTGGGTGAAAACAGTGCTGTGGAGTCAGTACTGAATGTGAGAACCGTGTTGGATTGCCAGGCGCGGTCACAGGGACTTTGAGACTGCTGGAGGAATCTTAAGGAAGTTTCTCTAAAATGGCATTTGGAGTCATGGTTGCTTTAACGTGCGTCCTGGTGCACCACACTGCAGCCAGTTGCCCAGGACTGCAGTTTAGAGGCTCTGTCTGGGAGTGTGCTGGGGGTGCGCGTAGATGTTTGGGATGTAGAAAAGACTGGAGGCTTGGTGGGCACAGATTGCGGAGGACAGTGCTGGAGGCCCATGGTGAAAGGCTCAGTCTCACCCAAGTCGTCCATTCTCATGCACAGTGGTCTTCTGTGGAGACGCTCTGCCTGAAGTCTCCATTTCCTTTTATTTACTTACTTAATTTTTTATTTATTATTTTTTGAGATGGGTTTCCAGGCTGGTCAATAAACTTCTGGGCTCAAGTTCCTCCTGCCTCAGCTTCCCCAATAACTGGGGCTACAGATGTATGCCACTGTGCCTGGCTTCATTTTTTTTTTTAAACATCCCTTGTTTTTAGTATAGTTTAATTCAGAATTTGATTTGAAAGTGCCACTTGAGACGTCAGTGTCAGATTTGCAATATTTTTGGCATTGGAAAATACTTTAGATGACCATGTTGTGAGTCACAAGGGAAAGAGAAAAAACAAGGGTATTACTGGGCACAGTAGCACGTGCCTGGAATCTCAGCTGCTCCAGAAGCTGAGGCAGGATTGTAAGTTTGAGGTCAGTCTCCACAATTTAGTGACACTGTGTCTCAAAATAAAAATTAGAAAGGACTATGGATAAAGCTCAGTGGCAATGACATACATCCCTAACTTTTTTTTTTCTTTTTTAAAGGCAGTCTCACTAAGTTGCTGAGGTTGGTTTTGAACTTGTGATCCTCTTGGGCAACCTCCTCAGTTCCAGTTGCTGGGATTATAGGGTTGTGATGTCACGCCTGGACATAGAAGATGATTACACGTGTAATAATCTGAATTATGCTCTAGTTTTTTTAAGTTAGGAAAAAAGTTACCATTCATTGAGATAATAAATCAAAGAGTAAAGTGTTTGAAGTGCTGTACTAGTTATCTAAAATCAGATGTCTGGATATCTTGGTTGGAATAGTGTGTGAGAGCTAATGACTACAAAGGGTGAGGAGAGGAAAGGAGAGAAGGATTAAATAAGGGGAAATCAAGTGAAAAATAGGTGGAAAGAAGGTAGTGCCCTAGAAAGCAGCAGCTCATCCTCCTGTGCTCTTGGGACAAAAATTGGGTATCATCCCTGACTTCCTCTCCTTTCATGCCTCACCGTAGCAAAATCGGGGGCTCCGTTTTAAAAACATCCAGGATCCAGTTGCTTCCCATGTCTCTTCTACCGCTGGGGCCTAGCCAGCATTCACTCTTGCTTGAACTGGGCAGTGGCCTCTAATATCACCTCCTATGTTGACCCCATCCTGTGCACGAGCCACATTGCTTCCTTGTCCCTTAGCCCCTGGTCCCTCCCCAGGAACCCTCTCATGAGCACCTTTTTCCCCTAATGCTCCTTGCCCTGGCTTTGCAGCTCATAGCCCTTTTTAAAATTTTCTTTTCTATATATTTTTAGTTGTGGATGGTCATAATACCTTTATTATATGGGGAGCTGAAGATCAAACCCAGTGCATCATATATGGTAGGCAAACGGTCTACCACTGAGCTAAAGCCCCAACTCCATCACAGCCCTTCTTCCCGGCTGTTAGAGATGACTCCTCAGTCCCTCAGACTGGATGGTTGGACTTGCGGGTGTGCAGACAGAGGCAGATTTTATCCCCTGTCTCCTTCTCCCTTGCACTTCATTTTTCTCTAAAGTACTTTCCTATCTAACGCTCTTCTTTCGTTTGTGTTTGTTTACTACAGATCTCCTCCCCTAGAAGGCAGGGATCTTCCTTTTGATCCTCGCTCAAGAACAGGGCTGGACATATATAGGTTCCTGGGGGAGGCAGGAGTAACAGGTGGGTGAGGAAACACTTCTATTTTGTGGAATGAAGTATTGCCCAATTCTAGGGTGGAAGGTAAAGCCAATTAAAATCTTTAAAGTAAATTGTCACTTTGTCCTTTGACAGTATTCAGTGTCCAGGTTGGCAAGTCTGTAGAGACAGAAAGTAGATTAGTAATTGCCTTGCACTGGGATTCGGGGGTCACTGCCATTGGGCACAAGGTTTCTGTTCATACTAATGAAAATGATCTAAAATGGATTGTGGTATTGGTTACACAGCTGTGAATATAAACCTTCTGGAGTTGTGCATTGAGAATAACGGAGTTGTATGCTATGTGGCTATCTCAGTGAAGACGCCAAAATACAAAACCTGAACAACAATGAAATAGGGCTGAGGAGCAGGAGCCAGAATTGTGGCCCTCCCAGCTTGCCTCTGCCTGCTTGCACCTGTCTTGTTGGTGAGGCGCTAACACACTGGTGAAGATCCTATCCCAGCCTGTCCTTCAAAGGTAGCACAGACCTGCTGGGCCTGGGAGCTTCTTGTGTCCTGGTCATGAAGATGGTACTGATGGTGCTGTGAGAAGGAACCATGGTCGAGGGAGGTGGTAAAGCTTGGTGGCTCCTGTTGTACATCTCAGGAGAGTATCTGCCTTTGACTGCACATTTTTTTTGCTTGAGAGACAACTTCCTTTGGCTAAAGTTAATAAACCTACCCATAAAAAGCTTAGTGAGAGAACAGGTGCAACTCCTAGAGCCTTTTCACCTGGGGCATAAGGTATTGCACAGTACCTCCTTGAGGAACTGATGGTAGTTGGGGCCATTTGTGGTCTTGGGGGGTCAGGTGAGCATATCTTAAGCATTATGAGCCTTACCACATTTTTACATTCAAGTATACATTTTAACGTGATAATAATAATCTCAGGTCTCATACAATAGGATTGATTATGTTCAACATACGATGTATACCAAGGACATGCTTATTGTGTGTGAGAAAGATGTTTACTATTAAACTTCAAAGGAATGGGCTTCATGAGTTACCTGCAGGGATCTCATGTTTTACTCACTGAGATTATATTGGTTTGGCTAGCACTGCCCTCTAACAAGATGCAGCGTTAGGGAACACATTCCCTATGCCACTTACAAATTATAGTCCATGTGGACCAGGCCCTGACTTAAATATGGTGCCTTTGCTTGTGAAAGGTGATCAGGTGAGTGTGGTTCAATAGCTCAAGAGAGGAAGGAAAAAAAAATCAGCCATCCTTAATATAGAACTGGGGTAAAGTATAAAATGTCAGAGCACAATTTTCTGTGACAGTGGGTAGGCAGTATATACTTGAGCATGAAGAATATCACTAAATTACATATTCCCTGAGTTATTAACAACTAGAAATAGAGTTGCAGTGAAAGCAGAGTCTTGGGAGTTGAGGGAGGAAAACAACTTATTTCAAATAAGTGCATGAAGAAATAGAAGAATCACCCTTAATGGTATATGTGACCATTCTAGGAATGATTAGAATGTTGCAGTGGAAGTCCTACTTCAAGTAGTATGATAACATCCTGTGACTTAGTACGCATTGTAGAAGGGACCATCTGCGTGGATGCTACTCAGAAATGAGTACAGTGGTGCATCAGCTTGCTTCAGGCTGTACTATGAGAAATGTGTCATTAGGCAGCTTCAGAGCTGTGTGAACATCATGAGGACATGTGCCCAGCGTGGCCAAGAGCTGTGGTGTCACAATGAAGCACGAGCTTATAGGACTGCCCTCATGTGAGTGGTCCTTTGTTGACTGAAATGTCACAAGGAAAGAGTTTGTCTTGATCTTTTGCTGTACTATGAATATGTTGAACACTAAAAATTAAAGGAATAATTGTGCTCTTTCTAGACTTCTTTTATTAAAACATTTGCATCTTCTCATTTTTTTTTCCTTTTCCTCAAAAAATATTCCCCATGGCCAGTGTTAGTAAATTCACCTTTCTACCTCAGGGACTTGAAGAACAGAGTAGCATGCTGGGGTCTGGTAATGTTCGTGTGCAGCTCAGGGTTGAAGGCAGAGCACGCTGGCCTGGTATGAGTTAATCCTGGTGCTTTGTGTTTCTGACTATTAACAAAGCAAATTTATTTCTTCTTAGGAGTGATGCAATTCCAAAGCAAAATTTTGATGTCAGTTCTAATGAGTCTGCTTTCGATTGTAGAGTGCAATGATGCCCTAGTAAGGATTAGTGAGAAACTTATTTTGTTGTAGATAATAGATCTGAGACGTTGTCAGCATAGACTGAAGTGAATCTGGCATGCAGTTGCTCTGTGAATGACCCTGTGAGCAGACTCTGCAGTTCTGAATGTGGTTTTAAATCACTGAATTTGTAGGCAGGTACATATTACAATTGTCTGTTTTTCTTTTTAGGGCTCATGTAATCAAAGAAGTTTCTTTGTTGTGTGTATCTTTACAGAACACAACAGGAATTGAAAATGAATCAGGTGAGTTTAAAAATAAAATTTATACAAATACATGATCTAGATGTCAGACCAGTTCTTGATTTTAAAAGATAGCCACACACGTATTCATTCCTCCCAGATTTTCACTTTTGTTTCTTAATGCCATTTATTAGTTTGTTGCTTTCACAGTGTGCATTTGTGGAGTGGAATGTGCTGTGTTTGGTGGGATTGACATTTCTGTGGGTCCCTGAGTAGAGGGCTCATACTTAGGGATTTTAGTTTAACTTTTCTTTTTTACTTCTCCCCTGCCACACTCTACTGTGAGGTTTTGTCTTTGTTTTTTAGCTTATTAAGCTTTCGTTTTAAACACTTTTTATTTTGCAATTTTCCATTGATTGAAAAGGGAAGAGGGAGTTATTTTTAGAGACTGCCATGGCTCCAGTGTAAACATGAAGTATTTTGTCCTTGAAAGTCCTTTTCAGAGAATAAAGAGGACAGATATTGAAAAATAAGATGTGTTTCTTTTTACAGAAGGGTGTGGGATTACCTGGAGATTAAATTATTCTGCTCTAGCTATTTCTATAACCTCAAGGGTGTTCTGATGAGTGGAATCACTTGTGTGGATTTAATGTATTCTTATTTTCTGGTTTCAATATTATTTCATTTGCAGTTACCGAAATTTATGGGTGTCAGAAACATTTTCTCAGAAATCTTCATAAAAATATTTTTTTAATATGCAGGATAAAACCTAAAAATGTGAAGTATGTATTTTTTTTTAGTTCTTTGTTAGAACTCTCAGACTTGAAAACATTTTGTATCCTTCAACTGAAACTTTAGACACTATTTTTATCATTTACAGGTGCTTCTAACTTGAGATCACAAGTCCAATTTCATTAGGTGAGGAAGCTTAATAAATTCAGTTCTGTGTTGCATTGAGAGATGTGAAATTTTTGGAATGGATTCTTTTGATATTTTTTTTCATTACTTTCTTTATCAGAAATATGTTTATTTTAATGCAGAGGACTATACATCATAAAAAATGAGTCTGGCAAACACATGGGCACATGGTTTCTATTCTTTTAAAACATGGCGATTTACTGACTGCTTTTGAAGACAAATTGTTTTTGAAATGGTGAGGGTGGGGTGAAGGAGTAAAGAACAGTGGATTTTCACAGTTTTCATCCAACAAAGTGATGTGCGTGTGTGTCATAGGTTTCATTTATTTTCTGATTCTTGATGTGAACCTGGTCACTCAGAGGAGCTTGCTCTTCTGTTGCCTCAGGACTTTTGTTAGAGGAGTCTGGATTCTGGTTAGAATGCTCTCCAGTGCTTCCCAGGTGGAATCTGAGTGTTGGCTTGGTTCTTGTTGCATCCACATTCAGCACTCATTTGTTTGAGGGGCCTGCAGTTTTAACCTCAGGCTTAACAATGCCTAATTCTTATATCCTGTTGGGCTGGTAGTGTGTTTCGTGTGTGAACTTTTTTTTTTTTTTGACACTTCACACATTTGCTTTAATACTCCATGTATACCAAATGAACTTCCATTTAAAAGAAGACCTCATGCCATTCAAAAGAGTTGCAGCAGTAACCATTTCTCTTTTTGGCTCACTTACAGTTTCATTCTGCTTTTGACAAGTTCTAATGCCAGATCTATGGAGGGCTGCCTTTGATGTTAAATGCCAGATATCAATGGAAAAGTGTCCTCTTATGTTTCTAATGGTTAGCACATTTCTGATTTGAGTGTAATTTAAATGGTCTGGTAGTAATGAAAGTTTTATTTGGTTTATAAAAATTGCTCACTTTCTGTGACTAAAATTTTCAGCATTTTTGCTTAGGTTTCATTATTGAAAAAGTATTAGTTGCATGCTATTTAGACTTGATCGTTATGCTGTAGCATAAAATCTGTTTGTGTTTTCAAGCGATTGTCCCAGTAATTTTAAGAAATTAAGAATTATTCTTGATAGTTTATAGTTTTCACTTGTGTATTTATTCCTTTCATTTTCAGCCGGTGAAAATAATTAATAAATTGCACTAAAATTTACTTCAAAATAAACCTACACAAAAAATTCAGATATAAAAAAATGTGAACTTGAGCAAGATTAACTTTCAATTGAAATCATGATGATTATTTTGAGGTAGGAGTAGTCTTTCTTGGAACCGATGGGCATTGCTTTGAGCTGTCAGACCTGTCTGATGAAGGGCATGCTGTCTAAGAGAATAGCACAGAACTGTTTGTTTCATGTGTCCCTGCCAGTTGAGGTCAGGGACTGAAGGGTCCTGGGCGCTGCACACTATATTGCTAGCAAATGATTATTTTAGAAGAAAATAGAGTCCAGCGCTTGTCAGTATTATTGGCATTGACCATTGAGGGGCATCCTGAGCTGTCCCACCAGGTCGTGCCAGCTATCCCTGATAGCTTGCCAGGTTTTCCCTTTAAGGCCAGCTATGGGGTTCCGCCAGGCCCTGGAGTATATATTCTTTGTCTTTCTTCCTCTGCCCTTTGTTCCCACTCAGTACTTACTCCTCTCTTCATCTCTAATCCTCTCCACATAGAATTCCAGCTTGCTCTGCATGCAGTGTTGGCAGGTGGAGTAGTAATCACTGACCTCCCCACCCCCATTTCTCATCTTCTCTATTTTCAAATCCTTCCTATTTTTTGTTTCTTTCATTATCATGCTACATCCATCCTGATACAGATTTTTCTCCACTCACTCTGTGGTTACGTCTCGATAAACCCATCATAAAGTAAAAAAATGGTAAGTCAATCCATAATGTGTTGGGTTTCATCTATATTTAACTTTTGAGGTCTTCTAGTCTTTCCTTAGACTTATTTAATGTTGTAATGCAAGTAGGCTCATAGCCGCTTAGAGTAGATATGGTAGAGTTTAATACCATTTGCCCTCTATTGAGATTGCTTTACAAACTGGACAGGTACTCTGTTAAGCATAGTATGTACATTTTCATATTAATTTAGTCTTTGTAGCCACTCAATGAAGCATAGATATTATAACTTTAATTTTGTGGATGAAAATATTAAGGCCCAAACAGGTGGCTGTAGCTTGCCTGTGGTCATTCAAATGGTAAGTACAGCTGTTCTTATAATGAACAGCTCCTCAGATTCCATAGTCAGGTTCTTGGTCACTGTGCTGTACTGCTGCAGTAGGGTAAATTATGTTATGCCGAGGGAGCAAGCAACTTGAAATTTTTGGTGGCATAACACAGCGATGATTTATATCTTGTTCTTGCCACAAACCCATTGTGGACTGGTTTGGGGCTGTGCTGTTGTACTCATTCAGGAACCAAGGGTGATGGAAGTTTGTCTCCATACACAGCACCCTGGTGTGCACTCATTGGTACAGTCATGCTGGCATCTCTAACTTAGCACTTAGATCAGGGGAGCAGTGTAGTGCAATTGGGTGCCTCGTAGCAGAGGAGAACTGTGACATTTAAAAACAACCATGATGATTTTACATCAAGTACTTTTACTACTAATTCACTGAATTACACTTAGATTTTTTTTCAAGAGTCTTTGCACAGTGCAAATTGTTATTAGTGTGTCAGTTTAGTGGTTTATGATTGCATTATCTCTACATCCTGATTAGTAATCTGTTACTGCTCTTTACCAGTAGCAAAGCAATTTAGCTTTCTAAGCTTGTTTCAAAGATTAGTAAAATAACCAAAGGAGCTTTTAATCACTCAGTGTGACAAATTCAACCCTGAGAGTTGGGATGAGCCACCCATAGTTCCATTATCTCAGCCATCTTGAATGTCCCTCCACCTCTCACTCCCTGGTGCAGACCTTATCCCAGATGTGGTGGATGCCGCAGAGAGCTCGGTGGCAAAGCACTGCAGCCTGTGAGCTCACAGAGGGACAGGGGACAGGGACTGCAGCCAGGCAATTTCCAGTAGTGCAAAGTGCTGTGGTGGAGAATGGTAGGTCAGGATGGGGGAGGTTCTCTGGATTACACAGAGAAGGCTGTCCTAAGGAGATAACAGATAGTAGAACCAAGACTTAGGTGGTAACCATGAACTAGCTAGATATGTGAAGATCTAGAGAAAGAAAATTCTAGGCAGAGTAAATGCACAGTAAATACAGGGGTCCTGAGGTGGGAATGAGTTTGACTCAAGGAACAGAGAGGGCAAGCCAGGGAGTGGAGCTTGGCCATACTTGGAGCTCCATCTGACTCTGGGACAAGATGACATTGGTGAGAGGTGAGGGCCAGATTTATAGGATTTTAGGGCCATGGGAAGGCATTTATATTTATTATAAGTACAGTTAGAAGCTCTGGATATCGACATAATCTGGTTTCCATTTTTAGAATATCACTTTTACTGTGCCTTGGAGACTGGGTTGGGAGGGGGTAAGGACCTGGTAATATACTTTCCCATTATTGAGATTAACACCATATTTGATGACAGCTTCTTCAGTTGGAGAACTTAATGAGCTGCCAGCTTTTGAAAAGAAGGTATATTTTTTGTTTGAGAACTAGTTGCCGTTCTTTCAAAGATGGTATAAATGACTTTCTTTTCTGTGTCCATCTGCTTATTGTTATTGCAGTTAGATTCATTCCTTAACCAAATGCAGTTTAATGCTATTTCAGTAAAGTGAAGCTTGTTGGATTATTTCCCCCTATTGTTTCCCCCTATTGTATAGTAGCTTAGAATCTTGATTGTAAATCTAAAAAAAGAAGAGTTGTCCAAAGAGTTCTGGAATATTTTAATACCCTATGATTCTTGGATGTTCTTTGCTTATAGTAATTGCTATGGGATTCTTCTTAGCCTATTGTAGGGGCAGCCTCTTAACTTTCCATGAAGATAACTACAACATGTTCTTAATATTAAACGTTATTGAGTCTAACGTCCCCATCAGCCACTGCTTTTACTCTTCAGTGTTTTGTTCTGAAAGGTCTGTAACAAGCTAGATGCTTTAATTAAATAGTTAAAGGAGATATAATCATATCCTGTCACTATCTGGGTGAATTGTGTTAAGTGGAATATGAATAAAATGTGCTTATTCTTGCATTTTTTAAAAACCAAAAACA